CCGCTTTAATAGAACGAATACAATTATGGGAGTTGCAAAAAAAATTTTCAGTTCACAATATATCATAATCCTAATTGGTAATTAAAATCCAGTATCAAGCAACAATTAAAAAAAAATATAGGTTTTCCTTCTATTTTGAATCTTGAAATATGCTCGCTCTTTACACGTACAGATGTGCTGCGCCTGTGCGTACTGAAACAAAATGGCGTCTATCTAGCACTGGCACACTCTGACCTCTCAAAGCAATCAAGAAGAAATCGTCAACGATCTGATTTTTGTTTGTCCATTTGGATGCCGTCATATGAATAAATCTGAGACATTGACTCCGAAAGACAACGCAACTAAATTACATAAAACTGCGATACTAGTGTTTCACTGTTGGTACATATTTTGGCTTGTGTTACGCGTGATTAAATATTACAATGGGATTGGTTTTCTGGTATTATTAATAACATGTGAAATTCGAACCAGGATCCATGCATTCATATAATTTTATCCGGTCACTAGATTTATACCTAGTTCTTTCTTAAAGGATGGCAGTCGTCGCCCGTCCTGTTCGATATGGGACTCATATCGACGTACTATTTTACAACGCATGTAAAATATATTGTTTATTTACATGAAATTCGAACAAGTGCCAAGATATGCCTGGTATTACAAAAATAAGGATTTAATAATCTACATCATGATCGACTTATGAATATTCATGATCTCACCCGTAAAATAAAATAGCACAAAAGTCAATGACCGACAGTTCGGATAACTGAATCGGAAGCGTATCTGCAGATCGGCCGTTCGGTGACCCCTAAGTCCGAACCCAGTTTTCGTTGTTTCTTATCACAGTGAAACTTGGTCAGTGTTGCATGTTTATGTCACGTGATCTTATGTACAATTTCTAGTACAATTTATGGAAACATAAGCTTAAAGGGCGGTAGTCGTGTGGCGCGAGATATAGTGGGTCTCATATAAACAGATGGCGACTGAGACGTTACTGAGCTTTAATTAGGCATTTTTTACTACGTGATTGGAAGATATCGGAGGAGTCACTGGCGGTAATTAGTGCAAGTCGCGTCCAGGTCAAACCTCATACCTGTGATTTCCATTAGAAGAGCGCATTGGATTGTGAGAAAATCAACGTTTATCAACACAAATGGCGCACTTCAACTTGAGAAGCACTCAGGCTAGATGTGTCTTATAGCGCGGTAGTCGTCGCGCAGAGCGTGCTCGAATTTCATTTAAACTCAGACTAGTAATACAGTCTGAGATTTAAATAAACAATGTATTTTACACGCGTTGTATACGTCGCTATGAGTCTCATATCGAACAGGACGTGGCACGACGACTGCCCCCTTTATGTTTAGAATGCCGATGCATTACAACCCCCGTTGTGACTAGTCGCCGGTGCCGCACCTTCAAGGGCTGGGCGGCAGTTGCGGACTGATAATCTTTTCCTCGGCACTAATCGTTCCAACGTTTAATGGTTAACATTCAGAAATGACTGCTCCCCCGGTTTTTTTTTTTTTTTTTTTTTTTTTTTTTTTTGGTGGGCCTATTGGCGGGAAAGTCCAGGGCCGTTTTTGATCCGTCTCTGGCGGGCGGGGTGCTCAAACTCCGTCATATTTAAGTTCATTTACGCCGGTGACTAATATACACATCTGTGTTTCTCTTACGCAAGCATAAAGGGATACATAATAAACATATATGAAAAATATGTGAATATTATATTACAAACGCGACACTACTTCGCCGCATGGCGTCTGCTCGTAATCGCAAAGCAACTTGCGTACACGGATGTTTTGTCGGTGTGTAGTCACGTGACTCAGAGGTCGGGAATCGGACAATCTTACACATTCCTCGATTTGCCACGACTTGAGGAAAAATAAATAAATAACATTTTGAGAAAGTCACGAACCACGCATTAGTTATTCAGTAAAATTCGTTAAAAATCATGAAATGTACATGAAGCGACAAAATAGATTCCAAGATATCGACATAAGCATACCAGGGCTGTGAACTATTACATCCAGTCAGCCAACAGACTTTATCTTATTTCATTTTATTTCTTTGTTCTGTAGTTTTTCAACGCGATTACAGTTATTATGACTGGAATGAACATTCTCGATATACAATGGGAAAAGTACATCGTGCTGTTAACCGTTTGGATTGCACATGAATTTCAAAAATCGTGTTAAATTTCTGTGGTAAGCCCAATTGTCTTGATATTCAGAAATCGATCGGGGTCTGGTGATCTCATTTTAATAATCACTACGTAAGACAAATCGGCATTTATCCGAATTATCAAGAGAAAATATTTTTAATCATGCCTGTATTGGATTTATTCAGTTCAGTCACGAATCCTCAAAGGTGTGGCCTACAAAAGCCACCCCGTCGCTGAAGTCGAGTCAAGTCCTCCGTCGGCAATGTGCCTAACTTGTGTCCTCACAGTTTCCGATGCGATAGGCGGCCCTATAGCGAATAGTAATGATGGACATGAATTAAACCACAACACGAATTAGAAGACCCATTCAAATGAACTATGAATTGAATAAACGATGCACAGACTGCACGTCTGTATGTGTCAGCTGGTGTCAAACCAGTCAAAGGGGATTCGAATCAATTCCTGCGGGATTATTCATACGCGCAAACCTACCTCCGATGAGAAGAATAGTGACTGTCAACATTTTCTTGTCGGCCTCCATGTCGTCTTAATCCTTCTTACTGTGTGAATGAAAGGGTGTGTGCTCGCAAAAACGTCCGCTGTTTATTTCCCAGATGGCTGAGCAGTGAAGTGGCGGAATTATGAAAGCGATGAAGATCCGCCGTTTTTGCTAGACCACGTGATTTAGGAGCGGTGATCACACTTTCCATAACCAGACACCGATGGCTTAATCAAGATATTAATTGACCGGCGGTATTTAGCAGATATGGCTGAAACTACGTACATGTTTGGTGTTTAAAGTTGAGCTTGTACCGTTAGCGGAACGTCGTTCTTGTTCTGGTTTACAGTTACACCAATCTCCAAACTTCATCTTCTCTGCCTGTCTCATAACTGCTACATAACCAGACCCCATCAGTATGCGAATGTAATATTTCCCCCACCGTACTAACCGGCCAGGTTCTGGTAATTCCAGGCGTGCCATCTGAGGGATGACCTCCGAATGGGGGTCGACGTGTATGTATACATTACAATATGTCTTATTATAGTACTGGTATTTAGTAATCGATCGTTTATCATGTGCTTGCTACATGTATCACGTAAAAACAAACAGACGCGGGCACACCAGTAATATAGCAGAGAACACAACCTAAAAAAAAATAACAGTATAATTGTCCTGAGATGATCCTGAGTCCGTGCAGACATAACCCTGGCGAAAAAAGGTTCTATTGTTAAAATGACGGTATTTCCACCACTGAGAAGTCATTATACTCGAGGTCGCATAAGTGTCATTCATTTTGTGTTTCTTCAAAGAGACTACGTGTCTGAATGTCAGCCTATTTATATCAGTTATGGTTATGGTTATGCAATAAGTAAACCTCGGATATTATACTAGCAGGGCTTTACTGTGTGTGCCCATGAAAACGGGGGTATTGTATTGTTCAGTCTGCCAGCCCTCGAGTTTTGACAACGCTTAAATGAAGGCGGTCGTCGTTCAACGCGCTTTCAAATTTCTTTGATTTTTCAGGTCGCCTTATCTTATACGTCGCATGGGACCCACGACGCGAGGCGATGACCGTGGTGCTCTAAAGTAACGTTTTAAGGAATAGTGATCATCTATATATTCCGGAACTAAATAGAGAGGCACTGCCCATTATTGCGCGTTATAAATCACCACTATCAGAGTTAGAGGGAGAGGTTTTTTATTACGTCATAGCTTCTCTATTTACTGTTTTCCCTCACAGATTTTTTTTCTTTTTTTTTTGGCATTGAAAACCTGAAATAAATATACTTTATGAACTTCGATATGGAAGAAAAATGCAAATGTAAATACAGTGTGTACAACGAAAAATACAACGAAAATAAATACACTTTATACAATAAAGGTGGAAGAAAATGTAAGTGTAAAAAAAAACCTTCACGGCTTCGCCTCGCCTTCGCCTCTTGCCGTATTCCCTTCTCATCCAATATGACGCTGTGGTGGATCCATTAATAACATGGCTGCATGGTGTACTGATCGACTAATGAGAACGCGCCGTTTCATATTGGGCAGCGCGCGGTAATACAATATCTCGACATGTAAATGTTTACCGTGTGACAGTATCTGTCTGTATTTTGCAATGATCTAAATGTGTACGAATTATAATGCCGTTTACTTAGATTGGGATTCCTAAATATGTGTTAAATCATAGTCAGTAGAGTGTGATTTTAATTGTGATTTTTCCTTTATGTTTTCCTAAGCACCCCGGAGTTAATGTTCAACGGTTATCTTAATGTCTACAGTTTTAAGAAATTGTATTTTAAGTTGCGAAATTTACATACAGCCATTTACTATTTATAAACCTTCAAAAATTAAATACACCAATGGATGTTAAAATACATCACGCGTTCACATTGCGCTATGATTTGTCGAAACAGTGTCACGTGGTGTTTCCTATATTACCATAATAAATGTTGTCTATTGCACATTGCTGTCCGTCCGTCGTTCCAAAATAACACAGAATTTGAGGCTTTGCTATTCCGGTGTCGTATTTAACATAAATAGTTAACAGTCACAGCGTGTAGCACACATTTGTTGTTATTGTAACACTCTCTGTGATATGTAACCTAAATTGAATTGTGACGAGTTATAGATGTCACGTGATATACTGCGACATACGCTTTCCCGCTTCATCGCATCCAGCATAGATCACGACCTTATTTTTTCTTTTCAAGGCTGAGCAATCACAGATCAGACCGAAACCGAGGCTTTCTGTTTGTAATAAAAAAAATACTGTTTACTTTGATTCGACAAAATTAGAACCTAACCCTACTCACGACTGCCTCACACATTTCAAACCTCACACCATCATATGAACAGACCTTAAGGTTCAAATGGCCACCGAGTTCTCGTTGGGAGCGAGAGCGACACGAGACTTGTTTTCGCTTCTCAATACAATGTTCTATTCTCTCCCGTCATCGTGTTCGCTGTTCCGGTCACCATGGTAATATATATATCAGGGGAACAGTGGACACAATAATGGGAGAGTATGGAACACTATTTGAGGGACGAAAACAAGTCACGCAACTCTCTCGTTCTCAACGAGATCTCGGTCATTTTGCAACTAAGGTCAATTCAAACTGCATCCCAACATATGCATACATGATACCACACAGTGAGTCCCCCCCCCCACTTTCTGAAGGGTGGGGGACACAATATCAACTGTCCCCTCCACTTTCCTGACTTACCCAAATATCAATAATAGGCTAATATCAAAGCCTGCGTTTGTGTAAGGCCTTTGGTTCTCTGTACATGTACTGTATTCTTAATGATCAAGAATGAAAATCCCCAAGTATGCACTAAATGACTTCATTTTGGTTGCATTTTTCAAAAATTCACACCTTTCGAGGGGGACACATCCCTCCTCGGGGTTCCACACCTACATTCCGACACAGGGGCGGATCCAGCAAAATGTATTGGGGGGGGTCCAGGCCTATAGGTCGAATACACGGGACCGTGCGATTCAGACAATGCTATGCGTAATCCAGATGCATTTTCATGCGTTTGGAGGGGACCATGCCCCCCCCTCTGGATCCGCCACTGTTCCGACACCCCTATGTTCCGACATCCCTATATTCCGACACCCCTATG